AGTTAGGTGTGGCGGCTATTACCCCAACAGTTATAACTCCTGTTATCCCAACACTCTTGAGGCTAAGACAGAAGAATCATAGACTTCAGGTCAAGACTGTTTCAAAAAGTAGTTATTCTTCTTTTCTTTCTATCCTATCTACTCTAGAAGTTTGTGTGGGTTTTACTCAGATTTAGATCTTTTTGAGGGTGGAGAGTTGAGATAGGGTTTCTCTGTAACAGTCCTAGGTGTCCTGGAACTCACTCTTTAGACCAAGCTGGCCTTGAACTCACAGAAATCTGCCTGCCTCTGCCTCCTGAGCGCTGGGATTAGAAGTGTGCACCATCACCACCCAGCTTAGAAAAAATATTTTTAACCAGAATTTTTCAAAAGTAATGATATGTAGTTCCTATTTTTCAAATTGAGATTCGCATAGTGAAGTTCTTCTGTTTCCTGCCCCGACATTTGAAAATAAATTCTCCCAAATATTTACAGCTCCTTACTGCAAAATTCTTCCAAGCCATGGGCGGACTTTTACTGCCTCACTTGTTACTCATCCGGCAGTTTCCATTCTCTCTCCGGTGCCAGCCCTTCTCCAGATTCAGCTTCCCTCTTGCTGAAGCACATCTGCTAGCCACCTTTGCACTGAGGGTACGTTAGCTGAAACTCAGCAGGATAGTGCAAGTGGAGAGGGTTTGCCCTTTTCTCAGCACCTGACATCATTACACACTGCCTTCCGGCACCTGTGACATCATTACACACTGCCTTCCGGCACCTGTGACATCATTACACACTGCCTTCCGGCACCTGTGACATCATTACACACTGCCTTCTGGCATCTATGGTTGATCTGAGAACTCTATAAGCTGGTATTAATCCAATATTTTTTCTCCTTGTCTAATTTTATTTCAGTGTGTTCAAGAAGGGATTTGTTCTCATTAGTTCTAAAAATGGCTTCTTACCCCTCTTCAGCCTGAAGTCATTTCTGGGAAATGTTTGCCCAGCAGCCAGACCATCCTCCCCCACACTATGGATGCTCTCTTGTGGAATTTCAGTGCTTCACATGTCCGCTCTTCCTGCACAACATATGACACAACTTCTGTGTAGAAATCCCCATGTTGGTGTGGTTCCTCCCAACTTCCTTCTGTTTCCTTCTTCAGAGCTGTGCAGTCTGTATGTCCACTACCACAAAGCTTTGATCTGTGTACAGCTGTAGACACCACATAGGAATTCACTTTCTCAAATCCAGTCGGTCATTTATCTCCTTTGGCATTCAAGATACACCTTTTCTCTTTCCGGTGGGAGCAGCACCCTGCACTATGGGTGCCCTGCCCTATGGGTGCTGACTCCTCACAGGGTTCACTTCCTCAAACAGTGAGTTAAAGTGAGCTCATGCCAATAGAGTGTACATTGACAGCAGCCTGTGCTCCCAGCCAAGGGCTTCTCTAGCCTCTGCATAGGTGGCTGATAGCAGCCTGACTCCAGCAGCCTGCACAGGCCCAGATCTCGGGTTTTGATTATTTATAATCTTCTCCATCTGACCCCAACAGCAACAGCTCATGCAGCTGCAAGGATATATGTCCTATATAAGTCTTTGCCCAGGTGGTGACTCCTGCCTTCTCCAGCACAGAGACACTGGGGTGGCCTTAGGAAAAGCTGTCATATTGTCCTGGGCATCCCAGATTTCAGGCCCCTCTCCCAACCTTCAAATAGCACTGGTTTATTCTTATGCTTGGCTTGTAGCTCAGCTACACATTAACTCTCCTGTTCTGCTGGTCAGCATTAAGGGTGTGCCCTACAGGAGGGAAGGGTCTTTTGGTCACACATTCACTCAGCCTGCTATCCACTGATCCTTAGGGTATCATGTGCATTCTGAGTTTCTGCTCTGCTGCCACCATTAGTGGAAGGGGACACCCTTTATCCACCAGGGAGACCCAAGGAGTCATTCTTAAACCCAACCAAGAACAACTACTGTGTAGAGGGACTCTGAAATAGCATACAGACCAAAGTCCCTGGCTTGCTTAAGACAGTGGTACACTTTAACAGAGGGTGTTCATCCCAGAAAATCAGGCTACTTGAGGTTGGATGCCTCTGAGCAGTTAACATCTGTGTCTAGAGGGGAGGCAGCAGGGGAGGGAGGCGTCAGCCAGCTCTGGATGCTGTGGTAGCAGCAGTTTGTGCAAAGGCCCTATTGCACATTGGGGAAACTCAGAAGCAGAAAAGAAGCTGTAGGGTAGGAAGGCGGGGGAGTGCCCAGGAGGCAAGCAGGGGTCCAGCAGTCAGAAATAGGTCCTGAGGTAGTGCGGGGCGATGGTGTGTCCAGAATAGATGCGATACTCTGTGATTTGAAAACAAAACAAACAACAGGAACAAAAACAGCTGGGCAGTGGTGGGCACGCCTTTGATTCCAGTACTTGGAGGTCAGCCTGGCCTATAGAGTGAACTCCAGGACACCAGAACTGTTACACAGAGAAGCCCTGTCTCAAAAACAGAACAAACCACAAAAAAAAAAAAAAAAAAAAAAAAAAACCGAGAGAGAGAGATGGCTTAGTAGTTTTAAGAATGCTCACTGCTCTTGCAGAGGCTCCAGGTTCGATTCCCAGCATTCATATCAGCAGCTTAGAACCACCTGTAATACAGCTCCAGGAGAACCAGCACCCTTTCTAGCCTTTGTCTGAAAGCACCTGCACTTATGCACAGGCCCATACACAGACACAGACAGACAGACAGACAGACACACACACACACACACACACACACACATAATTTTAAAAGTAAAAGGTTAAAAAAAAAAAAACAAAAAAAAAAAAACAACAATGTGTGTTCCTGTTGGTTGGACCTAGACTGTCCAGAACCCTCCCAGGGTGGTTGTACTTTCCAGAAACAAGGAAAATCAGAGAAAGTCCCACTTAATGGAGAAAGTGGCCACTGCCTGGTGACCTAGATCTTCACTGTCTCTAAATGACACAATAGAGTTGTGTCTGCCTGGGCACTGTGGACAATTAGCTGAGGCAGTATCCGAGGCCTTACACAGCACATGTGTAAGGACATGCTAGCAGTCATAGCTGAGGCCCCATCTTCCCACCTGGGCTGTCACCTCCCCTATGCATTATTTCCAGGTGAATGGAGGTGGGTCCGGGCCCTCACCCCTGCCCTTGCAGGTCTTTCCTGGTTAGGTTTGGCTTTGAGGCATGTCTACAGTTTTTTCTATAGTCTCAGGCCTAATGCTCCTGGTCTGGTCTAGTAGGTTCCTTTCCTGGTGCAGTGGAGCCTAGGGGGTCCCACTACCCCTTGGCAGAACTCCCAGGCTATCCGGATTGTTCAAGGCACAGCAAGCGTCATTATGACCAAAGCCAAGTGCCCAGCACGTTAGCCCTGGGCTAAGATCACTCAGAGTGGTGTCCCGACTCTTGTGAAATTGTTTCTGCCCCCACGACGCTTGTAGGATGGAGTCCACTGCTCCTCCAGGATGGTATTAGCTCCCATCGCAGGCCCAAATCAGCTCCTATCCCAGGCCCCTACATCAGAAGATGGAGCCCTAGCGACCCCCAAGGCCAGGGCCCCGCCTTCAGGCCAAGTGGTTTATGCACAGAAGAGGGTCTTCCGGCGGGTTTTTCTAACCGGGCGGGAAACCACCACACGAAAGCCTCTTCCCCAGCTGCGAGCAACTTCCTCCTCTGAGGTCCCAGCGCGGACAGAGCAGGGTGCAGGGCGGGGTCGCAGAGCAGGCGGCAGGGAAAGCCCAGCAGCGGCCACCTCCCGCTCCGCGCCCCGGGGCCCCGGCAGCCCGCGTCTGGAGATCCGCAGCACCAGCCCGAGCCCGGCTTCTCCTGCGACGCCGCAAGGGTCCTGACCGGCCCTCCGCCCTCCGCCCTCCTCACTCACTCAGGCCAGATGCCAGCGCCTGCTCATTGGCCCACATGGCCCACTCGATTTGCCCCATGGCAAGCACCCAGAACACGCAGTCGTCAGGTTCAACTCTGCAGCGCAATGCACAAACTCTCACGAATCGGCCCGCCCCCTACCCAGGCCCCGCCCCTTCGGGATGTGCCCTAGAGGCCTCCGCTGAGCCTTGGTGGGTGGAACAATCTCCCCTTGGGCGTCCCTCCAGCGGAATGTGCCCGGCTGTTTAGGAATTGCCTGTGACTTGTGACGGTTACCCCTCACACCCGTACCACTGGAGTAAGTCGTTTTTTACACACACACACACACACACACACACACACACACACACACACACCTATCAGACAAAGGCAGATCGGAAAGGATGAGGTTACTTCCGACCCACTGTGAGCTGGGGCAGGTGTGGCCTGGATCACATGACTAAGTGGAGGTGGGGGGACATGATATGCCAGGCTGGGAAAACCCAGAAAAGTCAGGGACAGCTGAACACTATTGCTGTTGTCCTTCCTCTCCAGAACGGCTCAGCGGCAGTGGCGTAGGCTCACAAAGAGACTGTCACAGGAGGGCTGGCTTACCGGCAGTGAGAAGTAACCCTAGCAAAACCTACTTCAGGCCCCACCTCTCCACTACATAAACAAGATTGAAGTCAACAGCAAGTAGGGACCTGAGCAGTCACTGAGCTGGCGAACATGGACCCTGGAAGAGTGGTTTATGAGGAGAAAGCACAGCCAAGGCAGGCAGGCAGCAGCACTCTTTATTCCTGGGGTTATCGGGTCCATTGCCTGCACCTTTATGATGCACCCACACCCACAATGGACCCACCCTGTGGGCTCAACAGCCTCTACCCTCAAGGGAAGGAGGGAGTCACGGGTCTTTATAAAGAAGTAGCCCATCCATGGTGTGACCTGAGATAGGAGCCTGAGTCTCAGCACAGGCACTGCTGTGTAGCCATCATCCTAGTCAGTGGGAGAGACACCCCTTCCCTAATGAGCTCCTGTCTGGAATGCAGGAGGTTCCCAGTGTTTCCGCAAGCCCTTCAGAAACCAGCAGGGAACATGAGGCACTTGAAAGGGGACCCCTGTCCCCCCACCCTCCCAGCTGCCTAGACAACCCATCACCATTCCATGTCCCCCAGCACAGCATCATCAAGTAACCCCACAGGCATGGCCAGTTAGCACTTCAGCTCCCTTAGCCCCGGTGAGCAACTCCTTCTTCAATGGCACGAGGGATCGGGCATGAAGTAGTCAGGAGTCCTGCTGTGGCAGGCCATCTGGGCCTAGCAGATGAGCATTCGAGTTGTCTAGGACTTGAGGCCCTGGTCCAACCTGGGAGAGGAAGTCAGTGTCTAGTGATAGAATGATGGGTAACAGCAGTAGACCCACCCACTGCCCCAGGGAATTTACAAGCCAGGGACTCTAAAGTAGGATTACATTGTGTGTGTGTGTGTGTGTGTGTGTGTGTGTGTGTGTGTGTGTGTGTGTCCTTCCTGGTAAATCCACACCAGCTTGTCCAAGCTAAGCCACAAGCCAGGGACTCTAAAGTAGGATTACATTGTGTGTGTGTGTGTGTGTGTGTGTGTGTGTGTGTGTGTCCTTCCTGGTAAATCCACATGTGTGTGTGTGTGTGTGTGTGTGTGTGTGTGTGTGTGTCCTTCCTGGTAAATCCACACCAGCTTGTCCAAGCTAAGCCACCTGAGCTGCTAGGTGCCCCTTACCCTGGCTGGGCCAGATCCTGAGAATCTCTGTGGCTCTCAGCACATGACTGCTATAGAAATCAGGGATTTAGAGTGAGCTACTTTGAGCAGGACTAGGAGAGATACAGGGATGTTGGCCTGCTTGTGGCAGGGAACAGGGTTTCTCTGTAGCTTTGGAGGCTGTTCTGGATCTTATTCTGTAGACCAAGCTGGCCTTGAACTTAGAGATCTGCCTGCCTTTGCTTTCTGAATGCTGGGATTAAAGGTGTGTGCCACCATCACCACCCAGCAAAGTGACCGCTTTTCATCTTACTGGCTTCTCTTGGTCCTGAGTTACTAACTATCACATCCCAAATGCCCCCACTCTCCTCCTCTATGTGCAAGCTGTCCCTAAATGACCACTGAGAGGAAACGAGTAAACCAGTGTCTGACGACTCTGAACCCAAAGCACAGCACGTGGCTACTTGTGTGCCATAGTTGATGCTGGTTTCTGCTTCCTTCCTGAGACACAGTGGAAGGGGGCAGCCTGGGCACCCCCAGTAGATAAAGAGGTGCCTGCCATGTATTGGGCCTCACCTGAGTGGCAATGATGTACTGGACCGCACCAGGGCTGGGTTCTATAGCCAGAGCAGCTTTCAGCTCATCAGAGAGAAGAACAGGCGTCACCGGCAGCCCCTTTAGGAACCTAGGCAAAGAAAGCAGAAGTGTGTTCATGATGCCAGTGTAGAGAGCCCAGATGGGCATCTTCAGAGACAGGTGGGCTGCAGATGGCAAGGGAGGGAGAAGGGCAGGGGCGTGCGAGGACGGGACGATGAAAACACTACGAATCAGAGATCTTGCAAAGCGGCACAGAGCAGTCAGACCCGTCCCAGGAGGCAGACCAGTACTGAAGAGACCAAGGATTATGTGCACAGGCTCAACCCTGTTTAATAAGGAAGAAACTGGGGCTTTGCTTGAATCCTATGCTTCAAAGTATCAGGTATTTGACACACTCATGAGAATGCCTGGTGAATTTCCTAATAAAAGTCAGTTCTGGGCTGGAGAGGTGGCTCAGTGGTTGAGAACACGTGTTGCTCTTGCAGAGGACTGGGGTTAAACTCCCAGCACCCACATGGCAGCTCACAAGCATCTGTAATTACAGTTCCAGGGGACTGATGCCCTCTTCTGGCCTCCAAGGATACGGATACTGCATACATAGGGTAAACTCACATTTATGCAGGCAAAATACTCAGCCTAAAAAAATGTTAAAGAAACAAATAACACCCAAGTTGCTTTCGCTGAGGGAGGGCCCTTGACCTTCCAGGGACAGGGACATTATTTCTCTCCTTAAAAAAAAAAAAAAAACCCATCAATCTTTTGAGATAGGGTATGAATTTACCACCTGAGCTATTCCAGGTGAGGGTCACCTAGGCCAGCTGGGATATCCTTTTTTAGTAGGGGAATATGGCATTTGTTCACACATCTGCAACCTGTGTGGCTATCAGGAGAGACTTTCCATGCTGTCATGGGCCCCGTGGCTACGTCCCTAAAGGAGGACAGTCAGAGCCTTTGATCTGGCTTAGTATTGGGTCTACCATTTGTCCCTAGCACGGTGCTCTGGACATCTCAAGGCGGGGAAGAGGGACACACACTCACTTGTCTCCATTTGTCGCAGGGGGAAAACTGTGCCTCACAGCTGCCACAAACTCAGCCACAGTGTCATCCAGGGTGAAGATCACAGCATTGGGACCCGCGTCAAATGTGTATGCCACCTGGAACCCAGAGTGTATCCCCAGCTATTCACTCAGCACCCTTAGTTCTGACCCTTTACCTGCTGGGGAACCTAGGATCTATCAGACTTGAATAGGGCTCATCCAACCAAACCAGGGAGTGGTGGCAATTAAACACACTGGTGTGAGTCACCTCTGCCTGGAGCTCGGGAAGAGGCTACTAGGCTGTGACCTGTGTGGGTCATACAGCGTGGATTAGGCAATACCCAAAACACAGAACTAACCAGAACTGTAGGGTGGAGCTTGTCTGTGTCATGCCTTGAGGACCATCCGGGAGGCCACTCACAGCTCCACCCACTTCCATAACCTTTGTCTGGCCACGTATACAACATCCCCACCATTTGTCTATGCTCCTTGCATCTGCCCACATTCTCTGCATTTGGACCCAGTGCTTGACTGCATCCCCCACATCCTGGCACCTTTGTCCGCCCATGGTGTGTGTTAAAGCAGTGTACTAGTTGGATGATGCGCCTGGACGTGTCATTGAGGTAGGAGATGGGTGGGAAGGTGTCGAGGCAGGTGGCATGAAACTGGTTGCTGTCCTTCATGGTCAGCTGGGCAAAGGCCTGGAAGTCCCGCTCTTGGATGCAGCGGGTCATCTCCTTCATTCGCTCAGGCACAATGGACTCAGCCCGGAACTGCAAGGTGAGTGACCAAATGAGTGAGTGGATACGACACTCTCTGCCTATAGGTCTGGGCATAGAACCTCCAGAGCCATCACCCCACCAGGGGAGCCCTACCTTGAGTAGTACACTTCACACTCCCCAGTGGAGACTCACCTTGAGCAGGGTACTGGTCTCCACACTGGTCTGCATGCCCACGGTGCTGCCCATCTGCTTCTTCTCGGCACTCACCTGAATGGGAGATGACACTGGGCCTGAGCCACAGGAGACCCGTAGCACAGCCCTATCACTTGACCCTGCCCTCTGCCAAACCAACCCTGGGCTCCTGGTCATGGAGGGGTGATGTGGGTCTGGGTATAGCCATATCATGGGGAAGAGCCACAGCCCTGCCATGTAGGAGCCAGTTCTGATCCCACCACCTACCACCAACAGCCTTGGTCTGTTCTCTAGACCCTGTTGGCCTAGGATCCTGGTGAATCCCAGATAAATATTGCCCTTCCATTCTTAGCCCAGCCCTGGCTGCGTGCTCATCTACTTACCACAAGGATAAGGACTCGGAGTTGGGGCCAGTGCCACTCTGGGGCTATCTGCCGGGCGATGCTGTCCTTTCCATCTGCCTGTTCTCCCATCTGCCACTCCACAAAGCCCCCATAAAGACTGCGGCATGCACTGCCTGAGCCCTGCCGAGCCACTTCAGAGAGGTCCCCCTCAACCCCATAGACCCGGGCTAAGGTATAGGCTGAAGGTACAGGAAAGAGACACAGAGGCAGCATGAGGGTTAATGTGACACACAGTCCAGCTCTGCTAGGTGCTCCCCGCTGCATAGGAAATGAGATTCTGAGGAGGCAGAGCTGCGGCTCTGGCATCTGGGCTGCAATCTCCCAGCTGCACACTGCGTCACTCAGCACTGAGTTTGGAAATGTACTCAGTCTCATAACCCACCTCAGGACTGAGGCTGCGGGAAGTTTCTTTGAGGAGCTCTAAGGAAAGGAGTGGCATTCAGAAGGCCACAAGGAGCAGGGACCAAGTTGAAAGCCTGAGTAATATGTCTGCAGGGAGAGAATGGTGGCTCTGGAGGAAGACAGTATGGCAGGCAGTAAGGCAAGCCTGCTGCTCATCAGCATGGGGCCTTCTCTGAGTCTGGCAATCTCAAGAAGGTGACCCTGTGTCCAGGACCTCCACTTCAGGATGACACAGGAACCAGCTGGACCAGGAAGCTATGGCCCCTGGAGCTAAGGGATAAGGGTGGCCTGAGCTCACCATTGTGAGGACTGCCTGTGCTGGGGATGGGGATGCCATGGACAATGACCCAAGGCAAAAAAGCAGAGATGTTACTGGTGGGAGCAGAGAGTCCCTTATGATAGGGTTAGCAGCCAGAATGCAGCTGAGCCTGAAGCTGGATCAAGACCTTGGAATTCCCAAGGGAGCTGGGAACGCCCCTCCCACCATCCCACCTCCCAGGTATTTTCTAGCTTCAGGTGACTTCTATCACTTGGGAGCTGAAGGGCACTCACACAAGTGCAGAGAGGGTCTGGTGGTCGATTGCATTCTGGGAAAGGGCAAGCTCTAACAAGAGCCTTGGATGCTGACAGGTCAGAGAACCCCTACTACTACAAAGCAGAACCCTGGGTCCCCTGGGCCTTACGAACACCCACCTAGGCAGGCGTAGCCCGCTGCTGAGGATGCCAAGCCTGCAGCAGTGGGGAAGTTGTTCTCTGAGGCCACATGCACCTTATAGTTGAGGCTGAGAGGAAGTGCATCCCCGTCTCCGGTGCTCCTCCGCTTCCGAGCCAGGCGTCGAACTGCAGGGGAGAGGGCACAGTGAGTGGACTTGATACTTGGCAGAGCCACCGGATCTTCCTCTGCCACCTCAATTGCCTGGGGCTGGGAGTGGTAGAGAATGGCTGAAATCTGTGATGCAGTAACTCCCAGACTCCCCACATGGACTTCCTCCTGGGGTGCTCCAACCCCAGCCCCTCTCTGACTGCTACTAGAGGCTTCCTATGGGCACTCAGCATCCGCAAGAGCACAGCAGGAGTTGCTGTCATCCCAACTCACTCTCCCTCAAGCAGGCTTGGAGCCGAGGCTGCCCTACATCCTCCTCTCGACCATTAAGCCAGATGCGGTCTTCTGTGAAGTCCTTGCTGATGGTAGCAGTTGTGATGGTTTTTAACTGGAAAGGAAAACAGGGGCCAGTGCTGAGGACCAATACCAGTAGATCTTTCCTACTTATGGCTAGTATGGTGTCTATCTGGGCAGGGACAAACATGGAGAAGGTTAGAGGGGCTGCCAAGGTCAGCCCTGGCTAGGTAGCAGGAGGTCAGCATGCCCCGCAGCCTGGCCACACTGTCCCGGCCTTCACTATGCAAGGTTGAAATCTGTCTCACCCACAGCAGAATCACAGGTACCTGGTCCCTCTTGAGTAAAGGAAGCTTGTTATAAATCTAGCCCTGTGGCACTGGGAATTTGTGTGTGGATGAGGGGACAAGGAGACTGTGCTAGGCAGTCCAAAGGACACAGGTCCACTACGGTTCTCATGAGAAGCCACCCCACTCTAGCCATCACAGATCAGTGTCTATGTGCGTAGTCACCTGGTCCTGGTGCAGGGTAACACTCAGAGAGGAGTTGATGGGCAGGATCAGGGCTTCATCTCGCTTCCCCCCTGCAAGAACAATCCAAACCACTGAGTTCTTGGTACCCCGTTGGCACCCTCCAAAGTTGCCTCCACGCCTCCGTAGCAGAGCCCCCATCTCCATCCTGCTCTCATTGCACAGGCTGCATTGCCACCCTAGGAACACCTCCTGGGTTGGCTGCAGACTCAGAGCTCAGGTTCACACAGCACAGTTGGAGGCCAGCCCACCTCTGCCTCAAGCTTCTTCCTTTGACTCCACAAATATTAGTCGTGGGCATCTGCTAGGTACCACATGCTTATGTGGCTAGTGGTCTACTCTTCCACCTGCTTGTCCACCCACAGGAGCCCAGTTCCTGAACACGTCTCAGATGACACCAATCAGAATGGTCCCTCTTTACCCAGTACTCCAAGTCCCACCTATTACAGAGAGCACAATCAACTCTCCAGAAAGCCAAAGGAAATACTACCCAACAACACTCATAGCACTTAGCTGGTGGTATCATGTCTTCATTGAGCATCTGCACATGTTCCGTTAATTTGGGATGTTTGGGCAGAAGATATCAAATGACTTTCCACCCTTCACCATCTACAGATATCTATGCACAGACAGCTCTCCTGGAGTCATGGAGCTGCTTTGAGGAAGATGGAGCAGATGTCCTAACCCCTAAGACTGAAGCCCAGGTGTCCTGCACAAGCCAGCAGGAGGCCCCTGAATGAAGAAGGAAGGCCCTGGGCCCTTGGCTCCAGGCATGGCTAGGGTGTGGCTTTGGGTACACCATCTGGGTTTCTTTCTGCCCATTGGTCTCAGGCCAGCAACAGTTGCACAGCATCAAGGAGACCAGCAAAGGGCAGCTGAGTGAGACAAACTTTTTGCTACAGCTTCTCCAGCCTCACCCTCTTTCCAAGGCCCTGGGAGCCTGGCTAGATGGGCGCCCCCATCCTTTCCACCCTAAAAGTGTGGCAGGCAGCCCTTTCATCTCAGCTGACAGCCTGGACTTCATCCACAGGGCTGCTTGAACGGGTGCTTCTTCCAGCCTTGCTGGGAGTTTCCAGGGGAGGCCTGACGGCTCCTGCAGAGCCCCCAGAAGAAACAAGAGCCACACAATGTGGGACTAACCCCTCTATCTGCCAGAAAAGAGATGGTGCCCCTCCTCCACCAGCTAAAGGCTTTAATAGGACTTGAATCTCAGTGCACAACAGAAAACCATTAAATCTCACCCAAAATCATTTGTCATACCAAAAGGGAGGTTCTCAAATTGAGAAATTAACAAGACACTAACTCTGAAGTGTCAGAGAAACCACGACTGCTGTCAAAGGTTTTTAAAGCAGCCACCATGAAAATGTTTTCACCAGTGATCAAAGGCAAGTAAGAAAACAACTGCAAAGAGACGATAAAGAAGGGAATGGAGGCCTGAGAGCTGAGCCGGTCCTGACACAAAAGCTCAGGGGCAAACTTAAAATGAACAGATGGGGGAAAACACAGCCACCTGAAAGGTGATTGGCATCCAAACACCAGTCAACTGAAAGCATCCCACACACCTACACGTAGAAGAAACATAGCATGCATTTAAAAAGAATGTTTTTATTTATTCTTTGAAAATTTCATATATGTATACAATGTATCTCAATTATTTTCATCATTTCCTCTCCAACTTCTCCCAAGGGTCCTCTTGTTTGTTTTGAACCTAGGGTTTCTCACACATAGGCAAGTGCTTTATATCACTGAGCTACAGGCCCAACCAAAGATTATGTAATCTTTTCTTTTTTAAGACAGGGTTTCTCTGTGTAATAGCCTCTGGCTGTCCTGGGACTTTCTTTGTAGACCAGGCTGGCCTAGAACTCGTCTCTGCTTCCTGAGTGCTGGGATTAAAGGTGTGTGCCGCTAGTGCTGGTGCTGCGGCCGACACCACCACCAACCACCACTACCAACCACTACCACCACCACCACTGGTGATCTTATCAGCAGAAAAGATATTTGAGCTGGGTAGTGGTGGCACATGCCTTTAATCCCAGAACTCAGGAGGCAGAGGCAGGGGGATCTCTGTGAGTTTGAGGCCGGCCTGATCTACACGAGCAACTTCCAGGACAGGCTCCAAAACTACCTGTCTCAAAAAACAACAAAGAAAAGATATTTGATAAAAATCACAGCCATTTGCATTTGTGTTTTAAGGAAGAATTATCAGAAGAAATTGGGAAAAGATGAGGAACCTTTTTTGTTTTTAAGACAGAGTCTAGTTATGCGGCCCAGGCTGGCTTAGAAACTGTAAAGATACTCTCATGGATCAAAGCAAGAATGTCCACTGCCAACAGCCCCATCCTCTGACTTGACACAGTGTTTTTCTCCCAACTGTAAACAGGTAAGAAAGGAAACACAAGGCACACAGATCCAAAGGAAGAAATGGCAGAGGGCTTGTTTGTCTACATACAAAATCTCAAGGAATCTACAAAAGTTCTCAAAAGGAAAGAGTGCTTGGCAACATTACAGAACACAAGAAAAACGAAGACATGGAGGGTAGGATAAAATGGGCTCAAGGAAAGGATAGTTCATAACACTGGCCATCAGGGAAACGGAAACTAAAACATTGAGCTGTAGGCCGGCCTGTTTGTCAGACAGACTAAAGTGAAAAAAAAAAAAAAAAAATTCCACTGAAATGGGCACTAGACCCACAGCTCCTTAACGAATGAAGAACAGTTGTCACTCATTCCCAGATGTGCTGCAGGTCATTCTCCCTCCAAAGGATATACTGTCTGCCCATAAACGTACTTCACTGGTAGCAGAGCCTGGAGTTGCTCACACCGTGGAATAGGGCAATGAGCCCTCGATGCATCCACCTGGATAAGCTTCCAGAAAAGGATGCTGAGTGAAATGAGCCAAACCCGAGAATCTACAGGCTGTGTGGATCCACTTACAAGACCAGTTCTAAATGACCATGGTGGGAGGAAGCAGAGCAGATGCAAGGCTAGGGTGATGGGCGCTGCTCCCTGCTGTACCTCCCTAGTTTACAGGGTCACCAGGGAAGGGGGAAGAGCAAGAGGCTGGTCCTCACAACAGCAGGTACAGTGGCACCTGTCAACAGCAAAGCTTCAGGAGTGACAGTAGAGCCAGACCAGAGGTACATGGTATGTGAGGCCTAGGCTGGCCCACGGAGAGGCCCGCCTCTCCCTAGCAGCAAAAAACCTTAATTTTACCATCCCCAACTCGCAGTGATGTGCCCTTTCCAGCCTGGAGCCAATGACAACCGCGATGACCTTCTTCTCCAGCTCCAGCCCCTATTCCCGCCCAGATGATACTCCCCATCTCTAGCCCCAGGATCTCCGATCCCTGCAGCGATGATACCAGCCCAGCGCCCGTTGATCCGGGCGGTGGTTACGCCCCCTTTAGCCCTGAGCCTCCTCCCAGCTGTCTCTAGTCCAGCTACTACAGATCTGGAACATGGGGCTTTTTCCCTCCTGCCCTGGGACCCTGAATCCCGGCAGCAGTGACCCTCATCTACTGCCCTTTGCCCATCGATCCTGGCAACTGTGGCCCCGTCTTCAGTCTCTCAGAACCCCCAATCCTGGTTGCAGTAACCCTCGTGTCCAGCGTTGTGCCCATCGATCCCGAAGGTGGTGACCTTCCTCTCCAGCCCTGTGCCTCGACCACTCCTCACACCAGCCGGGATGATCCGGTTCTCCAGCCCAGCTACTCTGGAGCTCGGCCCTCCAGCCCAGGGGCTCCTGATTCCAATCGTGATGACTCCACCCTTCAGTCCTACGCCCAGATCCTAGCCTGGGTGACTGCCCCGATTCCAGCACTCACAGTACTTGATAACCGCGATGTTGACCGGTGCGGTGCAGGTGACGACTATATCCTGAGACTTTTCCGAGGCCATGGCCGAGAGGCTGTAGTCTAAGCTGCAGAGCCCAGCACCAGTGACCGGTGTCCACAATCTCACGCGCTGCCCTATGATTGGCCCACGGACTAGGACGCTCCTGTGCCGTCCAATAGGTTGTAAGCCGAGCCCACGATCCACTTTTTAGCCTATGGACAGAATCGAATGATGTGCGGCCGACACTGAGCCCGCCCCCACTGCCTCTTAGCGCGTGGCCACCAGCGAGGGGTGGAGTCTGCTCAGGGAGTGGGATCTGCGCATGCGCCATGTGCATGGGTGGAATCTGCGCAAGCGCGAAAGGCCTCCTGGCACTCGAACCTCAGCATTGTAGGAGTGACTGTGAGGACCGAGGAGCCACCTGCTGCTGGAACAGCGGAGCTCAAGAAGGGCATGCCTCCAGCTTCTCCGCTGCACACACAACTCACTAGATCGAGAGGGATTCCCTGATCCGCAGCCCAGGGTCGTGCCAGAGCCCCGCATTCTGGAGTCTTCTGCGTCCATAATCTGGCTTCTCTTGTACGCACAATCTTGAGTCTCCTGCTCCCACAGTCTGGGGTACTACAGCCTGTCTGGGACATCCAGCTTGCCTGAGGTGTTGGGCTGAAGGTGGATATGCTGCATCCAAGATGGGCATTTTCAAATGCTGTCCCCTTTCCCAAGCCAGAGTTTTGTCACTTTTCATAGTTGAAATGGATTAACACATTTCTGTTTGTTGTTTATTTTGGTTTTGGTTTTTTGAGAGGTTTCTCTGTTTAACAAGCCCTGGCTGTCCTGGAACTCTGTACAACAGGCTGGTCTCAAACTTATAAAGATCTGCCTGCCTTTGGCTCCTGAGTGCTGGGTTTATAGGCATGTGCCACCACCACCCTGCTTTTACACCATTTTTATTATGGCAAAATAGTCATAGCAAAAATCTTTGCATTTAACCTTTATTTTAAGGTGTAGTTCAGTGATACTTAGCATCTTCACTTGGTATAGCCATCATCATTGTTTCCAGAACTTTCCATTCATTCTCCTTTAGAAACATACAATTTCCCAGTTCCCCCATCTCCTTTAAAATTTGTGGATCATATATATAACCAAGTCCATTTAAATGAAAACAAACATTTATAGACAATATTTGGGAATTTGGGAAAATTTGTGGATCTTGAACGGCCAAGACTTCAGAAGATGGGAGCATACAAGATGTGAAGTATCCAGGTCACCAGTTCCCAGGAGTGCAGATGGTACCAATCCTTTAACAGCCTTTGATTGGTACTTTATACACAATGGGAGCAAATTGCTCTTTCTAACATCCTGCTTTTTCAACTTGTGTGTTTCTTGGACAATTTTCAACTTCCTTGTTTGTCTAGATCATCAGAAATTTGTTCAAACTGTCCCCCTTTGAAGCCGTGCACTAAGCTGCCCTTGCATTTCATATAAGTGTGCTTCTGTAGAAAGATTCCTAGAAGTGCATGGCTCAGCCAAGCAGCTATGTGCCTGGAGCAATGTTGATAGTTGTTGGCATGCTGCCATCTTGTAAGCTGGATCCATTGTTCGGCTCTCTCCACCAGAGTATGAGAGTGTTAACAGGCCTTTAGAAGCACAGTAGATGACAGTCTGTCACATCAGGCTGACTGCCAACCAGTGGGGTCTCACTATTGTTTTCTTGTACATCAGTACATCAGATGGCTCTTTGGCTCTTATTTTCAATTTCTTTCTTTTTTTTTTTTTTTTTTTTTTTTTTTTTTTTTTGAGACAGGGTTTCTCTGTGTAGCCTTGGCTGTCCTGGAACTAGCTCTGTAGACCAGGCTGGCCTCGAACTCACAGAGATCCACCTGCCTCTGGGACTAAAGGTGTGTGCCACCAATGCCCAGCTTATTTTCAGTTTCTATTGCAATGACTTTTCTGTTTCACACACACACACACACACACACACACACACAGCCCCTATGACCTCCAAAGGTGCTGTCTGGTTGCTCCAGAGGAACAACAGTCTCACAGTCTCAGTGCTTTCACTGGGCTACCTGGTAACAGGGATAGAGAGGGCACCCATGCACCATAGTAATCTGCACCTGCCCTTCTTGTGGTGAGGAAGAGAAGGGCTTCTACTGACCCTCTGTGTTAGACCCTGAGCTTGGTGAAAACCTGGGTCCCTGGGTACCTCACCTGTTCCACCGTTTGGAATCATAGTATTATATGATGTAAAAGCTAGTGAACACAGCCAGACTACATAGTAAAAAGAACTGGCCAGGCGTTGGTGGCACATGCCTTTAATCCTAGCACTTGGGAGGCAGAGGCAGACAGATTTCTGAGTTTGAGGCCAGCCTGGTCTAAAGAATGAGTTCCAGGGCAGCCAAGCCTGTTACACAGAGAAACCCTGTCTCAAACCAAAAGAAAAAAAGAAGAGAGAGTTGACTCCTTTAAGTTGTCCTCTGACCTCCACATGTATGCCATAGCATGTGCATACCCACACACACAAAATACATACATAAATCTAAGAAGGAGAGAGAGAGAGAGAGAGAGAGAGAGAGCTGAAGAAATGGATCTCCTGGAACTGAAATGACAGATGGTGTGAGCCACCTTGTGTTGTGGGTGCTAGGACTCAAACTCAGGTCCTCTGCAAGAGAACTAAACATTCTTTACTACTAAGCTGTTTCTCCAGCCCATGGTACAAGCCTTTAGTCCCAGCATTTGAGAGAAAGAAACAGGTAGATCTCAGTGAGTTCAAAACCAGCCTAGTCAACATCCCAAGTTGCAGGCCAGACATGAGTATATAATATCAAAAACCCAGAATAAAAACAAGAGTTTTTTTGCATGCTAGACAGTCGTGCTACCAACTGAACTACATCCCCAACCCCATAGGAGAATTCCACACCAACTCAACCTTTTATGAAGACAGACCCGGGGAAAGAGGCAGGCATACCTCCCTTCAACCTGTGTACATCGGACACACAGGAAGACATTTATCCAGTCGCTGTCTTTGCTCTTTGACGTAAAGTCTACTGTTGACTATAACCCTACTGCTGACTTTGAACTCACTATATAGCCTGCATCACCACCCCTGGACAGAAGAGAATGTTCCTGGTTGTAGGGGTAGCTCAGTGATTAAGAGCATGTACTGCCTTTGCAAAGGACCTGAATTCAGTTCCTAACACCCACATGTGGTGGCTCACAAGTGCCTGTGACTCCAGCTCCACAGTATCTAATGACCTCTTCTGGATGCTGTGGGCACCTGGACTCACATGTACACATGTGCACCTGCATACACACACACACACACACACACACAGAGAGAGAGAGAGAGAGAGAGAGAGAGAGAGAGAGAGAGAAAGAGAGAGAGAGAGAGAGAGAGAGAGAAATAAAATTACCTGCTGGGTGGTGGTGGTACACCTTTAATTCTGCCTGCCACTTTCCCTGAGCCTGCCTTCTGTCTGAAACAGTCACAAAAGGTGGAGTTGGTATGGAACTCTCCTGTGAGGCTGGGGGTGTAGTGGAGTTGGTAGTGTGATTGCCTAGCATGCAAAAGAACTCTTTTTTTTTTTTAAGTTTTTTTGAGACAGGGTTTTTCTGTGTAACAGTCTGTAGACCAGATCTCTGTAACTCAGAGATCTGCCTGCCTCTGCCTCCTGAGTTCTGGGACTAAAGGTGTGCACCACCACCTCCTAGCTAAAACTCTTGTTTTTATTCTGGGCTTTTGGTGTTACATAACCATGTCTGGCCTACAATTTTCAATGTTGACCTGGCTGGTCTTGAACTCACAGAGATTCACCTGCTTCTGTCTATCGAAGGCTGGGATTAAAGGTGTGCACCATGGGCTGGAGAGATAGCTCAGTAATAAAGAGTGCTTAGTACTCTTGCAGAGGACCTGGGTTTGATTCCCAGTACCCACAAGGTAATTCACACCTGTCTGTAACTCTAGTTCTAACTGTTTTTAATTTTCAGGGAGCAGAAGCAGTCAGATCTGTGAGTTCAAGGCCAGCCTGGTCTATAGAGTGAGTTCCAGGACAGCCAGGGTTATACAGAGAATGCCTGTCTTAAAACAAACAAGTAAGTAAACAAATAAACTAAAAAAAAAAAAAACCTTCAAAAGAAGAGGAGGGACAGGTAGATCTCTGTGAATTTAAGGCCAACCAGGGATACATAGCAAATTCAAGGCCAGCCAGGGCTACAAAATGAGACCATCTCTACAAAATAAAAACATTCAGTTAAAGAAAGATGAGAATGCTTCGATCCAGAAGGAACAGAAGGAACAGTTACACCCAAGGGAACCCTTGTATGCGAACATCAGGCACAGAGGCCAAGATCACCCCACAGTTTAAAGAACCCCAATGCTTGACAACATCCTGGACCCCTGTGTGCCTTAAAGCTCAAAGTCCATGGGAGGTCATCTCTCCTTTCACCAAATGTAAAGTCTCTGCCATGTGTGTGAGGTTCATATTAGATCAGGGATACACATGTATGAGATACAGGAAGGAAGGTCTTTGGAGGGGCGGGAGAAAGAAGTGAGGTGAGTCCAGCCAAGGCTGAGCATCCATTGGCTGTAGCTTGGAGCTGGCCTGGACAGGCCAGCAGAGGGGACCAAAGCACAGCTGTGATTTCCAGATGGACCTTTCCCCAGGCCAGTCACTGGGGACAGAAAACTCTGAAAGTGACCTAAAAGGGGAGGATTCTGTTTGTGGACTTCTGTGTCCCTTGTCCCTTTGAACTCCAGTCCCAGGGAAGTCTTCAGAGGTCAAAGTCTTCCCAGAGCATTTGGCTTGGGCAACTGGTTAGACTATGAGAGAGACAGGCTTCATCCAGGGCTTCTGGGCCTGTGTGAAAACCAGCACAGTGCAGAGCTGAACACAATCAGGCAGGTGGCTCTAGGCTCCCAGGAGTCATTGTGTTTAGGAGGAGCTAAAGTAGGAAAGGACCTAGAGTAGAGGCGGAGCCTACACAGAACTAGGGGGGGAGATTGGATTGCAATGAACAGCAGGGAAGGAAAGAAGGAAGGAGATACATTGGGGCTACCCCAGGCTGGAATTTCCTTGCCCTCCCTTAAGAAGAAAATACCTTTCTTAGCTCAGGGTTCTTTACCCCTACTTTCCCACTTCCCGGGCTTG